ACTTTACTAAGATTGCTATAATTTTAACTTTTATAAAATTCAGGAAACTATTAAGAGATATGAAAATGAATGGAAAAATACTTTTTTTGTTATAATGTCCGATTTGTGGTTAGATCAATCAAAGGTTTGGGTTTGTTATTTTTTTCTAGATTTTCTATTTCACAAAATTTTAAATTTTGGTTGTTAATCTATATATTTAGACGCTTGCCAAATTACGAGCGATGTTTAAACATTATCAAGATAAAAATTTGATGCCATTTGTTTTCGTATTAATTGGAAATTTTTTATCTGAACCGTTTGTAAACATTGAGACTCACTCCGCTAAATATCGAGGTTTAATTAGTTTTTTGTACTCTATTTCAAATATTAATGACTTGATCATTACTCTAATACATAAATAATCATTTTTGTTTTCAAGCGGCCTTTGATAATCTAGGGAACCTTGTTGCAGAGTTTCCTAGCATAGCAAGATATTCACATTTTGTATTCGTACCTGGGTGTTCTGATTTTTGCATGAGTGGAAGATCTCCACAGAGGTACATACCAAATATGTACACTTCTCGATTAAAAAGTAAAATACCTAAGGCTGTATTCGCTAGCAATCCTTGCAGGTAATTGTTGAGAACAATAGAGAAATATTGTGTTAAGAGTTAATTAAATCCATTTCATACTTTTATCAAGAATAAAATATTGCAGTCAAGAAATTGTAATTTTCCGTGAAGATATCGTTTATAAGGTTAAACGGAATATAATTCGAACCTCAAATCTGTTGAATGCACAGGAGAGCCCAGAAATACAGGTAGACTAGTTTAATTCTTTATTTGGCCGATTCCTTTAAATTAAAAATTTTAAAAATTTTTAATGCTTCAATAAATAAATTATAGGTTGCCAAAACTTTACTACAACAATCGCATTTATGTCCGTTTCCGTTGTTTATGAAGCCTATCTATAAAGATTATGATTATACTCTAAGATTGTATCCAGTCCCTGATGTTGTAGGTAGTCTATTTTTTTTTTTGGCTTCGGTTACAAATTTTAACGATTTAAATCACAATTATATTCGAAATCCCAGTTGGTATTGGCTGATATATACCAGGACTATTCAGTTGATATCCCCGTGTCAAGATTTATTAACAGCAATCTCACTACCAAAAAATGCCATTGTTTGAATCCAAGTGGATTTTCGTCAGGTGGATACAAGTGGATGGTTTATTGGCCTTGGTCAAGAAAGTCTGAATCTTGGTAAATGAGTGTTATTAATAAATGTAATTATGTATAATTCTAATATATATTTGTATATTTTTAGTGATGGTACTTAAAAATTCAAATGTCACTAGTTACGAAGGTAATTTACTGTATCCAGAGTAGACTATTATTATCTACTGGTAGTTTTTTTAATATTAATTTGATTTTTAGGTTCTAAAATTAATAAATAAAATTTCATATTTACAGTTAAAATTATGTTATTTAGTACTGTATATAAAGGATTAAAAGCTTAATTGCTAAGCTACGTATAATCCAAATCTATATTATATATATATATTTTATTATTACAGTATATAAGGCCATACAAACTTAATAAATTGGTTCTCATAACCCGGCCGGGTCAAATTTTGCAAAACTTTGAAAAAAA